GGGGGGGGGGGGGGGGGGAAGACATAAACTTGGATTTGGTAAACCAAGAGTTTAAAACGGCTGAAACATTTAATATGCTGAGATCTTATGGATCTTCTCCTTCAATATCGGTTTCAAGACACTTATAAATAAAGGTAACCATGAGCAATGTGGTCATCAAAAGGAAAAGAAATCAAAGCAAAACTATGGTAGAGTCCGTGGGCAAAAGATCGAGCACGTAGATGTAGGGTAAACCGATCATAGTGTTGATCGGACTAATACATTGAGAAAATCTATCTTTGAAAACTAATTAAATGTTTTGAACGGAGAAATAGGAATACGATCAAAGGGTTATCCGGTTTAATTATTAATCGAACAAAAGGTTACCCGATATGTTTTAAACCGCATAGTATGTTGTCCGGTTTAGATGTAAATCGGACAAAGCTTTGAGAGAGTGTTATCCGGATTTGTAAATCGGACAAGGACTTGTGTTGTCCGGACTGGAAAATCGGACAAGTTGAAAAGTGTTGTCTGGATTGGTTGAATCGGCCAAGGCTTGACCGGAGATGAAGTCCGGCCAAGTGTGTGTTGACCGGATTTGTATATTGACTTGTGCATTGTTTATGCAAATCATCATTTTAATATTCTTGTATAAAGAATGAGAATTTTTGATAAAGATGATATTTGAACTGATATTATTCCATTAGGACATTTTTGACTGCGGTCTGTTTTATATGGAATTATTTCGTTAAATGTTTTGATGAGGAAATAAGGGTGACATATCAAGGAGAGGTGTACCATGGGATAAGGGTGACATATCAAGGAGAGGTGTACCATGGGATAAGGGTGGCATATCAAGAAGAGGTGTACCTTTGAATATAAGAGTGACATTTGTATGTGTGACATGCTATATAACTCTTACTATTATATCCTTTAAAATTACTGTAATCTGGAATCTTTATTTCTTTGTAATTTAAAGGTTTAGAATCAGGGTTCTTATTGGAAATCGTAGTCTGGATGTTATTGAAAAAGGGATAATAGGTTTAT